CCGAAAAATTTTGGAGCAGTCGATTTTTGGTAAAAAAGGAAGGTAATACACTGCCTTTTTTTGAGGCCAGAAAAAAAATTGTCTGAGGTCGACCGGGAAAAAACATTTTCTTATAGAGTTTGGCCCGTAGAATCCATAATTTCAAACAGTTCCAAGATTGTACTGCTAGATCAAAAGTTACAGCCCTTTGAACTTTTTGTCGAAATTTGTAATTAGTCCATAACTTTTGACTGAGGGGCCTGATCGGAAAAGTACGAATCGTTTTGAATTCTACGCACCAAAATTAGTGAGAAAAAGTGTTTTTCCGAGAAATTGTAGAGCAGTCGATTTTTGGTAAAAAAGGAAGGTAATACACTGCCTTTTTTTGAGGCCAGAAAAAAAATTTTCTGAGGTCGACCGGGAAAAAACATTTTCTTATAGAGTTTGGCCCGTAGAATCCATAATTTCAAACAGTTCCAAGATTGTACTACTAGATCAAAAGTTACAGCCCTTTGAATTTTTTGTCGAAATTTGTAATTAGTCCATAACTTTTGATTGAGGGGCCTGATCGACAAAGTACGAATCGTTTTGGATTCTACGCACCAAAATTAGTGAGAAAAAGTGTTTTCCCGAGAAATTTTGGAGCAGTCGATTTTTGGTAAAAAAGGAAGGTAATACACTACCTTTTTTTGAGGCCGGAAAAAAAATTGTCTGAGATCGACCGGGAAAAAAACATTTTCTTATAGAGTTTGGTCCGTAGAATCCATATTTTCAAACAGTTCCAAGATTGTACTACTAGATCAAAAGTTACAGCCCTTTGAACTTTTTGTCGAAATTTGTAATTAGTCCATAACTTTTGATTGAGGGGCCTGATCGAAAAAGAACGAATCGTTTTGGATTCTACGCACCAAAATTAGTGAGAAAAAGTGTTTTCCCGAGAAATTTTGGAGCAGTCGATTTTTGGTAAAAAAAGGAAGGTAAATAACTGCCTTTTTTTGAGGCCGAAAAAAAAATGTCTGAGATCGACCGGGAAAAAACATTTTCTTATAGAGTTTGGCCCGTAGAATCCATAATTTCAAACAGTTCCAAGATTGGACTACTAAATCAAAAGTTACAGCCCTTTGAACTTTTTGTCGAAATTTGTAATTAGTCCATAACTTTTGATTGAGGGGCCTGATCGAAAAAGTACGAATCGTTTTGGATTCTACGCACCAAAATTAGTGAGAAAAAGTGTTTTCCCGAGAAATTTTGAAGCAGTCGATTTTTGGTAAAAAGGAAGGTAATACACTGCCTTTTTTTGAGGCCGGAAAGAAAAATTGTCTGAGATCGGCCGGGAAAAAACATTTTCTTATAGAGTTTGGCCCGTAGAATCCATAATTTCAAACAGTTCCAAGATTGGACTACTAGATCAAAAGTTACAGCCCTTTGAACTTTTTGTCGAAATTTGTAATTAGTCCATAACTTTTGATTGAGGGGCCTGATCGAAAAAGTACGAATCGTTTTGGATTCTACGCACCAAAATTAGTGAGAAAAAGTGTTTTCCCGAGAAATTTTGAAGCAGTCGATTTTTGGTAAAAAGGAAGGTAATACACTGCCTTTTTTTGAGGCCGGAAAAAAAATTGTCTGAGATCGACCGGGAAAAAAACATTTTCTTATAGAGTTTGGCCCGTAGAATCTATAACAGTTCCAAGATTGGACCAAAAGATCAAAAGTTACAGCCCTTTGAACTTTTTCACTGGACGTTGCCTCTAGAAATCGTCATGCCTCTTATATGAGCCGTGGTTTCAGGTGCTTCTCTGGTTATTTGGCCCTTTTAATAACCTCACAGGGTTTTAGGAACGATTAGGAGCAAGGGCCTTAGAGAGTACTTAAAAACCTGTAAGGATCATGCCATGTAAGAATGTTTGAGTGTTTCCAAGAGGGATCCAAAGGGATTTTAGAAACATTAAGCTTTTAAACACCACTTTTGAACATCCCATCAAAATCGATAGGTTACCTGAATTATACCTGTAAATCAATAAATACTGCCAAATGCGTCTGCTTTATTTATGATGCAAACGTTATAGGTTACAATTTAAGGAACCTTGCACTAAAATGGGAATTTTTGAAATTCTTAAAAAAAGGGGCGGGGCGAGGTGAGGTGAACTTCAGCAACTCACCCCCGGTCTCGGCAAAGACATGTAAACTTGCTTCTCGGGTCGCGCCTGGCTCGCTTCGATGACCTCCTTAACGACCGACGTGACATCGGAAACCAGCCACTGATACATGTCGGCGAACACTTCTAGATTTTCTTGAGCAATTTTACTACCAGGATGCGCGGCCAACGACTTGGCCGCTGTGATAACCTGTGGTCCGTATACTCTTAAATTAATTTCGGTGAATCTTGCGGATACTTGTAACGTTTCGGAGACGGCTACGTGTCTCAGCAATTTACAAACTTCCAAAATGTGATCTATGGAATCGTGAAAGGCCCCCGAGGTGTGGTGTAAACGATCCAGTTCTGGGATAAGAGCGTGCTGCCGTATAGTTCCGACAAGCTCCTGACTTTGCTTAGTCGATGTGCTGAGCTCTTGAGCTTGTTGCAAGGCGGTTTGAGCAAGTTCTCTCGATAAATCTTTTGCGGCGGTTAAAGCGGATGATACGCAAGAGTCGAGCTCGGGACAGCTCGTCGCGCCATCTATTGCCATCTGCAACAAAATGCTTAGTGCTGCGCCGAACGTTTGTGCGCCGACGCTCACCAGGTTCGCGTATAAACCGAGAACGTGATCCACTTCGTCCTTCACTCTGTCGATGCCGTCCAAAATGGCTTGGCGGTGTTCGTGGCTTGTATAGGCACTGTCTGTAAAGTCTTGTGTACGTTCCAAGACGGCGTCTAGAGCCGCCGGAAGAGTATCTTGGTAAGAGGGATCTAAACTAACTCTGCAAAGCTCTAACACGTTCTGTAAACGTCGCATACAAGAATAAACCGTGCTCCGTTCTACTTCGACATCTTCACCCTGTATTGATTGTGAGCAAGGCTCTACCGAATTCAAAACGCCGTCCTTAACGACGTAGTGAATCAAGTCCATAGCTCGCCGCATCTGACAAAACACCGTATCCCGGTTCTCTCTGGCGGTCGTACTGTCCGGATGTCTGAGGCAAGTCTGCAATCGGGCAGGTTAACGTTCAGAATCGGAAGCTGGGGCGCACTTACCTTACTGGAGGTGAGAAGCATCATCGTCGACCGTTCCAGCACCTGCCTCGCGGCCGCCATCTGCGCCCTCCGCCGTTCGTCCTTGAGATCGTTCTGCCTATCTCCGGTCAGATGCGCCAGTTCGACCATTTCGGCGCCGAACTGACTGAACGCCTTCACGAACTCCGTAAAGTTATTTACCGATTCTAGACGACCTAAGCTACGTTGCACCTGAAAAATCGGCGCCGTTAGTAACGCCCCTCCCGAAACAGTCGGACGCCCACCTTGTCTTTTGCTAACAGTAATTGCTTAACAACTACGATATCTGCTAATAGAAGAACTCTAGTCACAGATCCGAGAAGGCATCTGGCAGCTTTCACTAGCACCGTTCGATCGGTCATGATTTCTTCTTCCGCTTCCTCGCATATCCTTTCAATTGCGCCACCTGTAAACAAAAATTAAAATTCAATACCTGTGACTTGAAGGGGGTACTGTAACGGTATTTATATCAAATGGGGAACGTATCGAATTTACACTCGCATGGTTACGGAGAACCCACATCTACGTTTGACCTTTCAGTGACACTGATTTTAGCAGAGTTTCAAACCCACGTCTACGTTTGACCTTGATTTTCAATCGGACATACATTTCTACTAAAAATGACGGTAAACACCTCCAAAGGTCTTATTGTTAGTACATATACAAGGGCGAGTCTGGGCCAGTTCAAGGTGCCACCTGCCGGTAACATTGGAAAGTAGGGCACGGTGAAGTTCAAAGGTCATCTTCCATGGGACTGTTGCCTTGGAAAGTAGGTCAAGGTGCAAGGGTATTCGTTTTCAAGGTCATCAAAGGTCTGCGGACCCATTTTTGTATTATATTTAATTTTCAAGGTTATCAAAGTTCAATGACCTCAAATTTTTGCGGTTTAATAGTCCATTTTCACAAGTCAATTACCCTTTTTTTGGTGGTGTCATATTTCAATGTTGCCACGTTTTACTTCTAAGGTTAATGGTCCCATTTTTAATGTCATCCAAGGTCATCCACGTTCAATGACCTAATTTTTGTCGTATCTTACTTCACTTTCAAGGTCAATGGTCCCATTGTTCTGGTGTCATTTAATTTTCAAGGTTATCAAAGTTCAATGACCGATCCGGAAAATGGAGGAGTGCTCGCGTCCAACCAATGACCTCTCAACTTGGGACCCTATTGCCGTTTCACAGGAGGAATGTCGTGTTCCCCAGAACCAACCGTGTCGGAGTTATGACTCCAGGCCATCGGGGCTTCCTTAGCGCCCGTACAGGGTGGAAGAATGCACCACACCCGACGGAAAACGCTCCAGGTGCGCCTACTGCCGTATGCCGGGCCACGTTAAAGAAGACTGTCGCAAGAGGCTCCCACGGAGACGTCAATGCCCCATACTGAAAGTGGAAATCGAGAACACCAAGGGAGGTGCATACCTGGACACAGGGAACAGATAAAGCCTTGTGGGGTTGAAGCTTAATACTCTCTTTCAGGGTACAAAGATTATAAAAAAAGATTTTGAAAAGATTTTGAAGAGATTTTGAAGAAATTTTGAAGAGATCTTGAAGAGATCTTTAAGTGCTCCTGAGGAGATCTTGAAGGGCTCTTGAAGCGATTTTAAAGGACTTTGGAGGGATTTTGAAGAGATTTTTTGGAGACCTTCAAGAACATTTGAAGGAACTGAAGAGATTTTGAGGGAATTTTGAAGATTTGAAGAGATTTTGAAGAGATTTTGAGGAGGAGACCTTCAAGAAAATTTGAAGAGGCTCTGAAGCGACTTTTTGAGGGGATTTTGAACAGACTTGAAAGATACCTTGAAGAAATTTTAAAGAAACTATCAGAGACTGAAGAGACTTTGAAAATACTTTGACGAGACTTTGAAGAGACTTTGAAGAGATTTTGAAGAGACTTTGAAGATATTTTGAAGAGATTTTCAAGAGATTTTCAAGAGATTTTTTGGAGACCTTCAAGAAAATTTGAAGAGGCTCTGAAGCGACTTTTTGAGGGGATTTTGAAGAGATTTGAAAGAAACCTTGAAGAGACTTTAAAAAGACTTAAAAGAAACTATGGGAGACTGTGAAGAGACTTTGAAGAGATTTTGAAGAGATTTTGAAGAAATTTTGAAAAGATTTTGAAAAAATTTTGAAGAGGTTTTGTAGAGATTTTCAAGAGACCTTTAAGAAAATTTGAGAGGCTCTGAAGCGACTTTTTGAGGAGATTTTGAAGAGACTTGAAAGAAACCTTGAAGAGACTTTAAAAAGACTTAAAAAAAACTATGGGAAACTGTGAAGAGACTTTGAAGAGATTGAAGAGATTTTGAAGAGACTTTAAAGAGATTTTCAAGAGATTTTCAAGAGATTTTGAGGAGGAGACCTTCAAGAAAATTTTAAGAGGCTCTGAAGCGACTTTTTGAGGGGATTTTGAAGAGATTTGAAAGAAACCTTGAAGAGACTTTAAAAAGACTTTAAAAAAACTATGGGAGACTGTGAAGAGACTTTGAAGAAATTTTGAAGAGATTTTGAAGACATTTTGAAGAGATTTTGAAAAGATTTTGTAGAGATTTTGAAGAAATTTTGAAGAGGTTTTGTAGAGATATTCAAGAGACCTTTAAGAAAATTTGAAGGAACTATGAGAGACTGTGAAGAGACTTTGAAAAGGACTTGGAGACTATTAAGAGACTTTGAAGGGACTCTGAAGGGTTTTAAAGAGCTTTTGAAAATATGTTGAAGAGATTTTGAAGAGTCTATGAAGAGATTATAAAGAGAGGTTCGAGGATTTAAAGAGAATTTGAGGAGATTTTGAGGAGACCTTCAAGAAAATTGGAAGAGGCTCTGAGGCGAGTTTTTCGTCGAGAGTTAAGGGCTCAAAACTGTTTTGCAAGCCTCGTTGGTAAAAAAGGCACGAAACCATGGCCTTACGGCCTGTTTCTAAAGATGTCGCTGAAACTGGAGAATTCTGCTAGTTTGAAGAAGATGAAGTTTAAGAAGATCCGGGGGAAAGCGAGGAGAAGTACCGGGCAGACCTCAGAAACGTCGCTAGTTTCAAAAATGTGCTTGGGATCCATAGTTTCCACAGGGAAAAAACTCAAAAAATGCAGAGAGAAGAAAAAATCAGGGAAATAGATGTGGCTTGCGAAAAAGGCGAGGGAGCATAGGAAGGAGGAGAAGTTTGAGCGGTTAAGGACTCCCAAGAAGCCAAGTTCAAAGCCTGGGTGATATACCCTGGGAGATATAACGAAACTATGAAATTATAACACCCTGTAGATCAATAAGGAAGCGTTTGCGGGTTTATATGAACTTATAGTCATAAACTAACCCACAGAATTCTCCCGGTATATCATATTTAGGAACACCCTGTATAAACATTCCTCGACTTGTATTGCCCTCAGCAAATGGGTGACCAATAACTTCGGATCAATAAATCCTGAACGATTGATATGTGTCACGTCATAAAAAATAAGGGTTAGAGGTCGTTAAAAACACACAATGGGGTGTGTATGGGGTACGGAAGTGATTTATGATGAACCTAATTTTATTTTTAAAAAAGAACGGTGTAACTTAATTTGAAACACTGCAAAAGTTAGGGCTACTTTACGATAACGGTTAACAATGAACCTTTCGACCCCTCTAAAAAATTTGAGGGAAATGGCTTTCTTCCTTCTCATAAAAGTGAACTACGGGTGTCTTATTGTACTCTTACATTATCTTTATCACAGCCACTTCTCGAAATTAAACTCGTAAAACTGCCAGCGGAGCGAAATAAGAAATGGGAACGAACCTGCTTGTCGGGCCTCTTTACATGCCTCGTACATTCCCTGTCGCACCTCCGAATAATCGTCGGCGATGGTCTCGCCGACGGTGACGAAACGCTCGATGGCCATGTTGACGGCCTGTCCGACGCGTGCGACGGCCGACGATCGTAAGGCGCTTCCATGCTGTTCGACCAGTGAAGAAATCTGCAAGCAAGAGCAGACGCAATTAGCGGCGATCGTGTTATCGAGTGAACGAGGTTTGCGTTAAATTTAACCGAAAGGCTTTTCGAGTGCGATTGAAACGACGATTAAAACGTGTAAAGAACGGGCAAAGTTTAATTAAGATAAATGAAGTTGGAACTTTTAAAAGTGGCACTTGTTCTCTAATGGTTTAGTAATGTTAAGTGCGCAGTCTGGCTGAAATTGTAGATAAAAAAGTCGGCCGAAGAATCGACAACTTCGTACAGGTTGATACGGTCGAAGTAGAATATTTAGACCTGATCAATTCATACGGATTAACAACAATTTTTCCATTCGTTAATGCTGCTTAATTCAAAAGTGGGGCCTGTCGAAAACACACAGCGATGATTAATTGTCTATATAAATAAACATCAATCTATAATAATTAATCTCGCTGACAGCTTACGGCCATTTATTATAAACGTAGAAACGTCACCTGGGCAAATTCGGAATTAAGTTCACGAATGACAAATTTATTCGTATTTTAAATTAGAATCCCGAATCAGCTCACTTCAAGATATTTAAATAGGCTGATTCTGATACCAAGACTTTTTTCTTTTTCATTTCAAAGTCAAATCCGCCGAAATTAATCTTCTTTCGAGATAATAGGCTTCTTATTTATTTGTCTTCCGCACGCATAAATTCTTGTGACCGTACTAATTCTGTAACGGTCGCGTTTCGAGTTTATGCGACCATTAAAAAGTTTTGATGGCTTCGTTTACTTCGGTGGTATCATTTCTCAAAGTGACGTGCACGAATACGGGATAAAATTGTTAATCAAAGTCGGATTCCGACTGATACGAAATGCGGTCAATTACGACGTAGGTATGCCGGCGGAAATTAGTGAAAATCGATGCTGGAATCGAATATTTTCAATCAGAGCTACCCTTGAATCACTAGTTTCTGCCTATTAAGGTAAAAACGACTCGTAAAACGCTTTATTCGTTATCGCCAGTGATTAATCTTTAATCGACGCGATGGCGCCCTGATTACGTTCTAGAAAATTCGCTACAACCAGTGGTATCGTATCAATTCCGCACTAAAAGTCGCCGACAAGCACAAATTGACTTACCGTCAAGAATACGGATGTGTCACTCGAAAATGTGAGATATTTATGAGTTTGACTTATCCAATCTCGTTTCCATTCGCCGTGTATACCGGGATCGTGAATGAGATGTCAAGTACAGTAATGAATCTACAGAAGATCCATTCTAAAAATGACATCCGCAACTTCAATCTTGATAAAGCCTTCATTCGCCATGTTCGTCGTGCGGCTTTCTTTTTTTAATTCCTTTTCAATTTGGAGTCAATCCTTTTATGGTGGGAAAGTGGGTCGCGTTTTTCTTTAGCTATATGGGTGGAGTGAGCAATTTTAGGGTTTATTAATGAGGAGCAGTCACGATTTAATTTGCGTTCGCTGTCGGACGGCGACCATTAGTCAAAAGGAGAAAAATTCGATTCGTCGAGAAACTCCCAGTTAAAGTAATTGATCGTGTTGCGTACTTGCAGCAAAGAGAAAGGGCGCCCGCATTTGTAACAATGACAATGAAAAAAGCTAGAACGAAGGATGATTGTTGAGGGTTTCATAGAAAGGTTTTTTTTGTTATGCGTGGCGTGAATAACACCAAACAGTTCATTTATCCAGCGTCTATGCGTGGGGTGGCCTACATTCCTTCGCTCTTTATGTACTGGAATAAAAGAGTCGCTGGGTGTGAATAGGGAAGCGGCGTTAATGTAGCACTTCTATATTGAAAACGTAGTAAAGGAGTCGATATGGCAACCAGATTCCGTTTGGAACAGTGTTCCTGTGTTCAGCGTCTCTCATTTATTGACCTAAATTCTCCTCCTTCTCACCCCTCACTTTCAGGGTCAACTTGCAGAATTCGGAAAGCAGCTCATCCGAGGATCGAAAAACGGAACATTCAAGGTCATTCGAAGTCATTGTAGTGGAAAATTACATAAGTATTCGAGGTCATCCGAGGTAATTGACCCCCATAATTTTTCAAGGTCATCCGGAGACATTGACCCCATTTTTGAGGATCAAACTAAATTTTCAAGGTAAGATGAAGATAAGACGACATAACGAGAAGAAATTCCCCTCCTCACCCCTCGGTCACTTTCAAGGGTCAACTTGCAGAATTCGGTAGCAGCTCATTGGAGGATCGAAAAGGGAATATTCAAGGTCATCCGAGGTCATTGACCCCATTTTTGTAGAGGAAAATTACATAAATATTCGAGGTCATCCGAGGTAATTGACCATAATTTTTCAAGGTCATCTGGAGACATTGACCCCATTTTTGAGAATCAAACTAAAATTTCCAGGTCATCCGAAGTCATTGACCCCAAAAAACTTTGTCATCCGCGGATCAGATCATGAGAAGAAGAAATGAAGAGGAGATGATATGACGAGGGGATAAGGTGAAGATAAGGCGATATAACGAGAAGAATTTCCCCTCCCCCTCAACCTCGGCTACTTTCAAGGATCAACTTGCAGAATTCGAAAAGCAGCTCATCCGAGGATCGTTAAACGGAATATTCAAGGTCATCCGAGGTCATTGACCCCATTTTTGTAGAGGAAAATTACCTAAATACTCGAGGTCATCCGAGGTAATTGCCCTCATAATTTTTCAAGGTCATCCGGAGACATTGGCCCCCATTTTTGAGGATCAAACTAAAATTTCAAGGTCATCCGAAGTTATTGGCCCCACAACATTTTTTAGGTCGTCCGCGGATCAGATCATGAGAAGAAGAAATGAAGAAGAGATGTAGTGACGAGGAGATCAGATAAAGATAAGGCGACATAACGAGAAGAAATTCCCCTCCTCTTCGCCCCTCAGCTACTTTCAAGGGTCAACTTGCAGAATTCGGAAAGCAGCTCATCCGAGGATCGAAAAACAGAATGTTCACGGTCATCCGAGGTCATTGGCCCCATTTTTGTAGTGGAAAATTACATAAGTATTCGAGGTCATCCGAGGTAATTGACCCTCATAATTTTTCAAGGTCATCCGGAGACATTGACCCCCATTTTTGAGGGTCAAACTAAATTTTCAAGGTCATCCAAAGTCATTGGCCCCACAAAATGTTAAGGTCATCTGCGGATCAGATCCTGAGAAGAAGAAATGAAGAGGAGCTGTAGTGACGAGGGGATGAGATGAAGATAAGGCGACATAACGAGAAGAAATTCCCCTCCTCCTCACCCCTCGGCTACTTTCAAGGGTCAACTTGCAGAATTCGGAAAGCAGTTCGTCAAAGCATCGAAAAACGGAATATTCAAGGTCATCCAAGGTCATTGACCCCATTTTTGTTGTGGAAAATTACATAAGTATTCGAGGTCATCCGAGGAAATTAACCCCCATAATTTTTCAAGGTCATCCGAAGACATTGACCCAATTTTTGAGGATCAAACTAAAATTTCAAGGTCATCCGAAGTCATTAGTCCGACAAAATTTTTTAGGTCATTCACGGATCAGATCATGAGAAGAAGAAATGAAGAGGAGATGTAGTGACGAGGGGATAAAATGGAGATAAGGCGACATAACGAGAAGAAATTCCCCTCCTCACCCCTCGGTCACTTTCAAGGGTCAACTTGCAGAAATCGGAAAGCAGCTCATTCGAGGATCGAAAAACGGAATATTAAAGGTCATCCGAGGTCATTGACCCCATTTTTGTAGTGGAAAATTATATAAGTATTCGAGGTCATCCTAGGTAATTGACACCCATAATTTTTCAAGGTCATCCGGAGACATTGGCCCCACTTTTGAGGATCAAACTAAATTTTCAAGGTCATCCGAAGTCATTGGCCCCACAAAATGTTAAGGTCATCTGCGGATCAGATCCTGAGAAGAAGAAATGAAGAGGAGCTGTAGTGACGAGGGGATGAGATGAAGATAAGGCGACATAACGAGAAGAAATTCCCCTCCTCCTCACCCCTCGGCTACTTTCAAGGGTCAACTTGCAGAATTCGGAAAGCAGTTCATCAAATCATCGAAAAACGGAATATTCAAGGTCATCCAAGGTCATTGACCCCATTTTTGTTGTGGAAAATTACATAAGTATTCGAGGTCATCCGAGGAAATTAACCCCCATAATTTTTCAAGGTCATCCGAAGACATTGACCCAATTTTTGAGGATCAAACTGAAATTTCAAGGTCATCCGAAGTCATTAGTCCGACAAAATTTTTTAGGTCATTCACGGATCAGGTCATGAGAAGAAGAAATGAAGAGGAGATGTAGTGACGAGGGGATAAAATGGAGATAAGGCGACATAACGAGAAGAAATTCCCCTCCTCCTCACCCCTCGGCTACTTTCAAGGGTCAACTTGCAGAATTAGGAAGGCAGCTCATCCGAGGATTGAAAAACGGAATATTCAAGGTCATCTGAGGTCATTGACCCCATTTTTGTAGTGAAAAATAACATAAGTATTCGAGGTCATCCGAGGTAATTCACCCCCATAATTCTTCAAGGTCGTCCGAAGACATTGACCCCATTTTTGAGGGGTTAGACTACATTTTCAAGTCATCCGAGGTCATTGGTCCCACAAAATCTTAGGGTCATCCGAGGATCAGATCATGAGAAGAAGCGATGAAGAGGAAATGTAATGACGGGCGGGGGAATAAAATGTGGATAAGACAACATAACGAGAAGAAGACGAAGATATGACCAGGACAAAACAAATGATAGAACCAGAAGTCAAAAATATAAATTGAGGACGAAAAAGGGATGAAAGCGCGTGAGAACGATGACGAAAAAATGAGGAAGAGAGAATGAAACGACTAGAGGACGCAATGACGACAGAGTGAGATAACAAGAGGAAGGGGATGAGAATGAGAAAACGAGCGGGAATATAAGGTAACCAGAGTACGAAGAAAGGGTATAAAAGCGAGAAACGTAGACGAAAGTAAGAGATGATGGAGAACGAGAACTTAAAGATGATACGATAAGAAGAAGGCGATATGAAGAGTAG